GTGTTTGTTTACCTAAATGAACAACGTGTTTGTTTACCTAAATGAACAACGTGTTTGTTTACCTAAATGAACAACGTGTTTGTTTACCTAAATGAACAACGTGTTTGTTTACCTAAACAAGAAGAGTGTTTGTTTACCTAATGACCAGCAAGTTTGTTCATCTAAACAACGAGAGTGTCATCACCATCACCATCATCAGGTGCTAATGATCCATTGTTAGGCTGATGGTCCTTCTTGAGCATGTGATCAGCTGGTTCTGGTTGTCAGCATCAAACTGGTTGATCCACTCTGAGAAGGTGCTATTTAAGAGACTGAGCTGAATACAGCACCTCAGACTGAGGAAGTCTTTCTGATGAAACATTTCTACAATTTTTTTGTTGTTGTGTATTTATTTTTATATATCACATATCACATTAGTCTTAATTGGGACAAGATGGCGCCGTTGTACGTGGCTTGTCGTCTGTCTCTCCTCAACTTGTTACTTTTTGTGCTATTTTTCTTGACTTTTGTTCAGATTGTGTCATCACTGTTTACTTATGACCGCCAGACACTTTTAAATATTAATTCCATCGTGGGAAAAGTACCGTTTCGTGACCTTTATGGACGATCCAAGACTTTTCCTCCACCTCACCTGGCATCCATACCTCCATTTCTACGGAATCCTTGTGTTGTGGTCGCCCGCAGCGGGCGCCGTCGCAGGAGACGCGGCAGGAGGGGTGGGTTGCTTGTGAAGCTTCGGGCTCACTTCGCCTCTTCTTCATTCCAGTCTTCGCGCAAGATTCTCAGGAAATACAACTTTGTGGACATACGATGCCCCATGGAATATTCATACAGCTGGTTACGCGTCGTGGATACGGACACCGGCAGCGGCGCATTTCCTGGTCTTCGGCGTGCAAAGATCTTTAGGCGTGGCAGGGTTCAGGAGAACCTCCGCTCCTTTGGCCGTGCATCCCAGGATAACAGCCAGTGCTCCATCCGGATGGCTCTTCTGAACACTAGATCTGTCATAAATAAAACTTTTATTCTCCACGATTTCTTCTGCGCAAACTCTCTGGACTTTCTGCTGCTGACAGAAACGTGGCTGAGACCGGGCGATAACAGCGCGTTTTCTGATCTCTCCCCCTCGGGCTGCTCCTTCTTCAGCTCCCCACGTCTGACAGGCCGCGGTGGTGGTGTTGCCACTATCTATAAGGACAATTTTAAATGCAGACTTCTGCCCACCATCACTTACTCCTCCTTTGAACTTCAGATGTTTGTGATTGAGCTCACCCCGAATGTTTTATGTGCTGTTGCCTATCGCCCACCTAAATATAACAAGGAATTCATTCAAGAATTCTCTGAATTCCTTGCTGATATTATTTCTCACTATGACAGTTTTTTTATTTGTGGAGATTTTAATATTCGTATTTGTTGTCCCACTGACCCACTGGCTTCTGAGTTTTTAAAGCTTTTAGCCTCTTTTAATTGAACACAATCAGTGAATTCACCAACACATCATCTTGGCCACACTCTGGACCTTATTATTTCTCATGGACTGTCCATTTCTCACTGTGAAATTTCTGAGTCTGCCATCTCGGATCATTTCCCTATTTGTTTCCAATTTACAGCCCCCCACCCAGCCAGGAGGCCTCTGGCTGCGGGGTGTCATCGCCGCTGTCTCACCTCAGCCAGTGCCCGACAGTTCACCACTGCTTTTATGGACTCACAGTTTTATTCAGTTGGTCCTGATGTTTCTCTGTGTCCCAAAGATTTCCTGTCATTGTTTTCTGATACCTGCACTGGGATCCTGGACTCTATTGCTCCGGTGAAGTTCAGACACCCTAAACCCAGAGCTGAGCCTTGGATGAAAGATCCTCCTGCATGCAAACTCAGGAGACAATGTAGAAGGGCTGAAAGACAGTGGAAGCATGACAGGCAACATGATTCTTTGGTTTTATTAAGGAGAACTCTTGTTCTGTATCAGAGATCTGTTAATGATGCAAAATCACAATTTCTGTCTAACATTATCACAAACAGTAGCCACTGCCCCAGGGTGTTATTTAATACAATTAACTCTGTTTTAAATCCACCCACCTCAGTCTTACCTGATGCCTCAGCCTCCACCTGTGAGAACTTTCTCTCCTTTTTTATTGATAAAGTTGCATCGGTTAGACAAGCCACAGGCACACCTGCTACTTCTGTTTCAGACTGTTCTTTTATCTCTGCTGGTTCTGCTTTATTTGACCAGTTTGAACCAGTGTCCTATTCCCTCTTGGACAAAATCGTCAAATCCATTAAACCCACCAACTGCCCCACTGATTTACTCCCCACCAGATTATTGAAAGAGGTTTTTAATATTGTTGGTCCTTACCTTCTTCCTTTTTTCAATTCATTGGAATTATGCCTTCTGCTTTTAAACATGCAACGGTCTGCCCCCTTCTCAAAAAAACAAATCTTGATCCCTTGGTTTTATCTAATTTTAGACCTATTTCTAATTTATCCTTCCTCTCCAAAGTTTTAGAAAAAATTGTTCTTACGCAAATTCAGGCTTTTCTGGAAAAAAGCACAATCCTGGATAAATTTCAATCTGGTTTTAGATCCCGACATAGCACAGAATCTGCATTATTGAAAGTTCATAACGACATAGCTCAGTCAGTTGACTCTGGGTGCCCAGTAGCTCTGGTGCTCCTCGACCTCACAGCGACCTTTGACCCTGTGGACCACTCTGTCCTTCTGTCTCGCCTCCATGATTTTGTTGGGATTCGTGGTACTGCTCTGAAGTGGTTCACGTCCTATTTATCTGATAGAACCTTTTCTATCTTGTTCAATGGCTCCTCTTCCTCTACAGCCCCTCTTCTGTGTGGGGTGCCACAGGGTTCCATTTTGGGTCCTTTGCTCTTTTCATTATACATGTTGCCACTTGGATCTATTATAAGACAACACAATGTCAACTTTCATTTTTATGCAGATGATTTGCAGATCTATTTACCATTAAGGCCAGGATCCAGTAACCCAGTGCTTTCTCTCTTCGACTGCATCTCTGCAATCAAACATTGGCTGAACAAGAACTTCCTGTTTTTAAATGACAGTAAAACAGAATGGATTTTATTTGGTGACAAAGATGCAACTGGCCTGGGAAATTTGGACATAAACTTCAGTGACTGTGTGAATAACCTTGGGGTGACCTTTGATAAGGCTTTACACTTTGACAAACATATTGCCTCTGTTGTCCGGTCAGGATTCTTTTATTTACGCCTTTTAAAAAAGGTCAAACCCTTTTTAAATTGTCACGACCTGGAGAAAGCTGTTCATGCTTTTATCAGTCCTAGGCTCGATTATTGTAACGCTCTGTATGTCGGTGTACCACAGTCATCACTGAGTCGCCTCCAGCTTGTACAGAATGCAGCAGCGCGCCTTTTAACCAACACTCCTAGATGGGACCACATCACACCTGTTTTATTCTCACTACATTGGCTCCCTGTCCGTTTTAGAATAGATTTTAAACTTTTATTATTTGTTTTTAAAGCTCTGAATGGCCTCGCTCCTCCTTATATAACTGAGATGCTAAGTTTCCCTGCCCGCTCCAGATCTTTGAGGTCAGACAGCTCCTGCTCTCTGTTCCAAGGACTAAATATGAACTCTGTGGTGACCGTGCCTTTTCTGCAGCCGCACCTCGACTCTGGAATAAGCTCCCACTTGATCTGCGTCAGATTACTGAACTTGGCCCTTTTAAATCGAAGCTTAAGACTTTTTTATTCCAACAAGCTTTTAGTACGTAAATATGTGGTGACATTTCTGGTTTTATTTGTGCCATTATGTTGTGTTTTCTTGCTTTTGACCTATTGTCATTTTAAGTACTGTTTTTTGTTAAGCACTTTGGTCACCATCACCATGGTTGTGTAAAGTGCTGTAGAAATAATTAATTAAATACATTTTTTATTTTGTTTTTTTTGAAAGTCCAGAGGACCTGACTTAACATTTTTAGATTTTTCTACCGGGATTGTTGAGCATTCATTGTTTTTTGACTATATTTTAACACATCTTATTTTCATGTATTTATGTTAATCTATTTTTACAATTATTTATTTCTTTATTTTTATGGTTGTTTTATTTCTTAACTGTGGGTTTTCTCCTGGTACTCCTGTGTCTTCCCACAGACCAAAAACACGCATGTTAGCCTGTTTGTCCCTAGGTGTCCCTGTGATGGACTGAGAGCTGTCCAGGTGTCCCTGTGATAGACTGAGAGCTGTCCAGGTGTCCCCGTGATGGACTGAGACCTGTCCAGGTGTCCCCGTGATGGACTGGAGACCGGTACAGGTGTCCCTGTGATGGACTGAGACCTGTCCAGGTGTGCCTGTTATGTACTGGAGACCTGTCCAGGTGTCCCCGTGATGGACTGAGACCTGTCCAGGTGTCCCCGTGATGGACTGAGACATGTCCAGGTGTCCCCGTGATGGACTGAGACCTGTCCAGGTGTCCCCGTGATGGACTGACACCTGACCAGGTGTCCCCGTGATGGACTGAGACCTGTCCAGGTGTCCCCGTGATGGACTGAGACCTGTCCAGGTGTCCCCGTGATGAACTGAGACCTGTCCAGGTGTCCCTGTGTCACTGTTTTGGACTGAGACCTGTCCAGGTGTCCCTGTGATGGACTGAGACCTGTTCAAGTGTCCCCGTGATGGACTGAGACTTGTCCAGGTGTCCCCGTGATGGCCTGAGACCTGTCCAGGTGTCCCTGTGATGGAATGAGACCTGTTCAGGTGTCCCCGTGTCCCTGTGATGGACTGAGACCTATCTAGGTGTCCCTGTGATGGACTGGAGACCTGTCCGGGTGTCCCTGTGATGGACTGAGACCTGTTCAGGTGTTCCTGTGTCCCTGTGATGGACTGAGACCTGTCCAGGTGTCCTCGTGTCCCTGTGATGG